AAGATGTGCTTTCTGGTACCCTGAGTAGAGGTAATTTTTACAACCAGAACCCCACTTGGTTGTTTACAAGTTTCCAAAGCATAGCAGATCCCAATATTTATGAGGCCTGTTCCAAGTTCCAAATAATGTCCATTATAGGTCAGGCACGGTGGCGCACGCCTGTAACCCCAGCACTTTGGGAGGCCGAGACAGGCGGATCATGAAGTCAAGAGATCGAGACCATTCTGGCCAACACGAGGTGAAACCCTGTCTCTACTAAAAATACAAAAAAATTAGCCGGGCATGGTGGCATGCACCTGTGGTCCCAGCTACTCGGGAGGCTGAGGCAGAAGAATAGCTTGAACCCAGGAGGTGGAGGTTGCAGTGAGCTGAGATTATGCCACTGCACTCCAGCCTGGTGAACCAGCAAGACTCCGTCTCAAAAAAAAAAAAAAAAAAGATGTTTTTAAAGAATTATCTTGGAGGAGCCATAAGATCCAGCTTAGGATTTAACTATTTTATGACTTTTGATTACAACCCAAAACTTTGAGAGAGAGGTGGTGGGGAATGGGAGGATTAACAAAATTGGCATCAATTGTTAGGCCTTGGGAAACAGACGAATCTCTCCAACTTTCTCTTGCCCTTTTATCACCTGCCCTAAGGCAACACTCTAATCTCCCATCTTTCCGATTGTGGGTCTTAAGACCCTCAAGGGTCCCATCCTATACCCTGGGAGAAGGAATGCTGACACGATGAAGCTTCCATAAAAACCTGAGCTAGGTTCAGGAGCTTCTGGAAAGCCAAGTATGTGGCGTATCCATGTGCCAGGAGGTAGTGGACCCCAACTCACAGGGACAGATGGTTCTGCACCCTCCCAGACCTTAACCTATGTATCTCTTCATCTGGCTATTTGTATCATTTAAATATTCCTCATGGCTGGGCATGGTGGCTTATGCCTGTAAAATCCCAACACTTTTGGGAGGCTGAGAAGGCAGATAACCTGAAGTCAGAAGTTTTTTTGTTTTTTTTTTTTTTGAGATGGAGTCTCACTCTGTCACCCAGGCTGGAGTGCAGCTGTGCAATCTCAGCTTACTGTAACGTCCCATCTCCTGGGTTCAAGTAATTCTCCTATCTCTGCCTCCTGAGTAACTGAGATTACAGGCACCCGCCACCACACCCGGCTAATTTTTGCATTTTTAGTACAGACAGGGCTTCACCATGTCGGCTAGCCTGGTCTAGAACTCCTGACTTTGTGACCTGCCCGCCTCAGCCTCCCAAAGTGCTAGGATTATAGACGTGAGCCATAGCGCCTGGCCGAGGTCAGGAGCTTGAGACCAGCCTAACCAACATGGTAAAACCCCATCTCTACTAAAAATACAAAAATTGGCCAGGCACAGTGGCTCACACCTGTAATCCCAGCACTTTGGGAGGCTGAGGAGGTCGGATCACGAGGTCAGAAGCTTCAGACCAGCGTGACCAACATGGTGAAACGCTGTCTCTACTAAAAAATACAAAAATTAGCTGGGTTGGTGGCATGTACCTGTAATCCCAGCTACTCAGGAGGCTGAGGCAGGAGAATCACTTGAACCCAGGTCGGGGAGGTTGCAGTGAGCTATATAGCTCCAGCCTGGGTGACAGAGCAAGGCTTCATCTCAAAAAACAAACAAAAAACAAAAATTAGCTGTGCATGGTGGTACGCACTATAATCCCAGCTACTCCAGAGGCTGAGGCAGGAGAATCTCTTGAACCTGGGAGGTGGAGGTTGCAGTGAGCCGAGATAGAGCCACTGTACTCCAGCCTGGGCAACAGTGCAATTGTATCTCAAAAATAAATAAAAAAAATATTCTTCTTAACAAACCAGGAGATTTAAAGAAGTGTTTCTGTGAACTGCTCTAGCAAATTAATGGAACCCAAGAAAGAGGTCGTGGGAACTTCAACTTGAAGCCAGTTCGTCAGAAGCTCTGAAGGGCTAGACTTGCAACTGGTAGAAAGGACGGATGGTCTTAAGGGACTGAACCCTAAACATGTGGAATCTGACACCATCTTGGGTAGATAGTGTTGGAAGTGAATTGGAGGACACCTAGCAGGTATCCACTGTTTGGCGTGTGAGGAAAATCCCTCCACCCCATCTTTGGTAACGTTAAGTTTTCTTTCATGTTGATGGTGGTGGTTGTGTGAAAGCAAAGAAAAAATCTGGTTTAAGAGATTTTCCCCTATACAAATACTACAGAAACAAAGTAAAGAGCAGGACAGCAGAACTGTTGTATACCTCAAATGTATTACTTCTCAAATGTATCTTCTATAGAACCTATACAAAGAGAACTTCCCACCCTCAGGCACTCATGCCTCATTTTGTTGAAGACCTGTGTTATCTTAGTCAGTTTTCATTCTGCTCCAAAAATGTGAATTTGTTTTTAATATAACAATATTTAATATTTATTATTATTTTTTGAGACAAGAGTCTTGACTCTGTCGCCCAGGCTGGAGTGCAGTGGCATGATCTCCGCTCACTGCAATCTCCACCTCCCGGGTTCAATCAATTCTCCTGCCTCAGCCTCTCAAGTAGCTGGGATTACAGGTACCCGCTACTACACTCTGCTGATTTTTTGTATTTTTAGTAGAGATGGGGTTTAACCATGTTGGCCAGGCTGTTCTCAAATTGCTAGCCTCGTCATTTGCCTGCCTTGGCCTCCCAAAGTGTGGGGATTACAGGTGTGAGCTACCATGCCAGATCTTCTTTCTTTTTTTTTTTTTTTTGAGACAGAGTCACTCTGTTGCCCAGGCTGAAGTGCAGTGGCAGAATCCCAGCTCACTGCAACCTCCACCTCCCAGGTTGAAGCGATTTTCCCTCCTCAGCCTCCCAAGTAGCTGGGATTATAGGCAACTGCCACCATGCCTCGCTAGTTTTTGTATTTTTAGTAGCAATGAGGTTTCACCATGTTGGCTAGGTTGGTCTCGAATTTCTGACCTCAAATGATCCACCCACCTTGGCCTCCCAAAGTACTGGGATTACAGGTGTGCGTCACCATACCTAGCCAATACTTAATATTTAATCACCAGTTAAATTACTTAATTCACCACCCCCTCAATGAGCATAATTGAAGTTCCAAGAAGATGGGTCACGTTTATTTTGTGACTTCAAGTACCCAGTAATCATACTACCTGATACTCTAAAGGTATTCATATCCCAGTTTGAGAAACAGGGATCTAGGCAATTAAGCTAGTCATACACTTAAAAGTGATGAACATGCTCCTATAAACCCATTCCCTAAACTCTTAAAGGTTAGCTTTCTCAACAGCTTCTTAAATAACAGTGTTGTTTCATTTTTCAGCAACTTATTAGTATGCACTCTAGGTCAATAATCCTAAAAGAACTTGGAGGGCACAAGTTATTTCTGGAGTGACAGAATACTACCATACAGACCTTGTCCCTCCCATCTAGCAGGATAACAAGTTGCCCATCTGGAAAATAAAGGTTTGAAGAATAACAGAACTTTCATTCCTATTTTCCTTCTCTTTTTTTTTTTTTTTTT